CGGCTACAGCTCCATCCGCTCCAGCGACTGCCGCGAGCGCGTGGTGATCAACGTGTCCGGCCTGCGCTTCGAGACCCAGATGAAGACCCTGGCCCAGTTCCCGGAGACGCTGCTGGGGGACCCCGAGAAGAGGACTCAGTACTTCGACCCGCTGCGCAACGAGTACTTTTTCGACCGCAACCGGCCCAGCTTCGATGCCATCCTGTATTACTACCAGTCGGGAGGCCGCCTCAAGCGGCCGGTCAACGTCCCCTTCGACATCTTCACCGAGGAGGTGAAGTTCTATCAGCTGGGGGAGGAGGCCCTGCTCAAGTTTCGGGAGGACGAGGGCTTCGTGCGGGAGGAGGAGGACCGGGCGCTGCCCGAGAACGAGTTCAAGAAGCAGATCTGGCTCCTCTTCGAGTACCCGGAGAGCTCCAGCCCCGCGAGGGGCATCGCCATCGTGTCCGTCCTGGTCATCTTGATCTCCATCGTCATCTTCTGCCTGGAGACCTTGCCCGAGTTCAGGGACGACAGGGATCTGGTCCTGGCGCTGGGCGCCGGCGGGCACGGCGGGCTGCTGAACGACACCGCGGCGGCCCACGCGGACAGCTCGGGGCACACCATCTTCAACGACCCCTTCTTCATCGTGGAGACGGTCTGCATCGTCTGGTTCTCCTTCGAGTTCGTGGTCCGCTGCTTCGCTTGCCCCAGCCAAGCGCTCTTCTTCAAGAACATCATGAACATCATTGACATCGTCTCCATTTTGCCTTACTTCATCACGCTGGGCACCGACCTGGCCCAGCAGCAGGGGGGTGGCAACGGCCAGCAGCAGCAGGCCATGTCCTTCGCCATCCTCAGGATCATCCGCCTGGTCCGAGTGTTCCGCATCTTCAAGCTCTCCAGGCACTCCAAGGGCCTGCAGATCCTGGGCCACACCCTCAGGGCCAGCATGCGCGAGCTGGGCCTCCTGATCTTCTTCCTCTTCATCGGGGTCATCCTCTTCTCCAGCGCCGTGTACTTCGCCGAGGCGGATGAGCCCACCACCCACTTCCAGAGCATCCCCGATGCGTTCTGGTGGGCTGTGGTGACCATGACAACCGTGGGCTACGGGGACATGAAGCCCATCACCGTGGGGGGCAAGATCGTGGGGTCCCTGTGTGCCATCGCGGGTGTCTTAACCATTGCTTTGCCAGTGCCAGTGATTGTCTCTAACTTTAACTATTTCTACCACAGAGAGACCGAAAACGAGGAACAGACGCAGCTGACACAGAACGCGGTCAGCTGCCCGTACCTCCCTTCTAATTTGCTCAAGAAATTCCGGAGCTCCACGTCTTCTTCCCTGGGAGACAAGTCAGAGTATCTAGAGATGGAAGAAGGCGTTAAGGAATCTCTGTGTGCAAAGGAGAAGTGTCAGGGAAAGGGAGACGACAGCGAGACAGATAAAAACAACTGTTCTAACGCAAAGGCTGTGGAGACCGATGTGTGAGTCGCTCTCTCCACCTGCCGCTGCCACCCCCCCCACCCCGCCCCAGCATCTCCAAATATATTTATGCATAGAGAGTGCAGTTATGAAAATGAAATATGCAAACGAGTCCAAGGCATACAGTAGTACGCCATTTAATGGCTATACGTGGCATAATTGTTACTAAACTTGTATTACATATCAAGCAAATGATACATCTTGGAGACAGAGGGAGGCTTAAAGAGGAGCAAATCTATCTTTATATTTTTTATTAGAATGCAAGAATTTTGCACATTAACTGGGAAAGATGTGATCGGCAAAGATAGCTCTTCCAGGGAGAGAATGTGTGTGTGCGTGTGCGTGTGTGTGCGTGAGCGTGCATAGGTAAATTGTCAACGTCAGTGATTGTGCAGTGATGGGAAAAGTTGGCATTTCGAAGTATTTACTATGTAAGACCTAATGAATTCGAGCAGTCATTTATCAGTGCTGTAATAGCATCTTATGTGTCTTTGGATTCTGTAGTTGTTTTTTAAACATTGTAAGAATTACTGTGTAGAAAAAAAAAAAAGTAAATTATTTAATAGAATATAGGTCACAATTTTATCTTGGATTTAATTAAAGTTTATTTTTAACTGGAAATTAACTTTTGAAAAGGCTGCAAGGGCCTTTAGAAATTGATTATATTTTGTTATTAATTTTGCGAAGCTCTGACAGCAAATGTCTAACATTATGGAAGAAATGAAATTGGAGAAAATGGAACGTGTTTTGTTCACAGGTAACAGGACTGGAATTTTTGTTTCATTTGCACTACTTTAAATGCTGGAGATTGAGAGAGACTTCATACTGTGAATGTTTACTAATGTAACAGTTCAATGACAATCATTGGAAGAATGATTTTTTTAGTCTTATCTTATTGTTCTCTTTCTTTTCGTTGTGTGAGGCTATTGGCCACGCAGATATCAGCACACGATTCTCTCCTTTTTAAAAATCTAAACAACTGCTCTGCAAAGGAACTACGAAGTAAAATTTAGCAACTGAATCTTTTGAAATTGGTCTGTTACAATGATGCTTCTGAAACCATACTATTTTAATATTCTTCTGCCTTTTAACTCCAGAATAATTTAACCAAAGTTAATGCATGCACTGAAAGAATTCTTGAAGAAATAAGATGCCCAGCAGCTAAAGTGATTATGGCTTAATTTTTTTCTATTAAATGTGCAACGTAAATGCTAGATTTATTAAGTTTATTTTTTGTGCAGCTATATAAGAGCAGAATTTGGGGATTCACCTCAGATTTTAGCATTCTATTTGCCAAAATGGATATAAAAAAGAATTGTATCAAAACATTGGGTTTCAATATCACCATTATTATCATCTTTATTGAAGGAAGTTATGACATATAACTGCATTTAACTCATGACCAAGTATTGTAGACTGTGAGGTAACAACTAGTGATCAGCCTTGCATTATTAAGTCATAAAGAGATCTAGGCTAGAAAATTCAGAATGTGTGAGAAGCCTTACTCTCCAGTGTTTAACTTCTGTTCTTTGTAACATGGGTGTATTGAACTCTGGAGAAAAAATACTGCATAGACCCGTCTCAGCACATAATGAAGTCTGACAACTGTGAACTAAAAACAAACAAAAAATGACCTAGAATAGCCTTTCTCAATTAAAAAAAAAAACAAACAACTGGGCCATAATTTGATAATTATATAGACTTACCTCTCCTCTGAAGGTATTTGAGATTCAAAGTAAATCCAGAATTAGGGTTCTCTCTTCTCTCCACTCTTCTCTCCAACCTTCTTTTCGCCACCCTTCCCTAAGACTTGTGGAGAAACACTTTTTTAGAACACCATTTGGAGAACCGAAAGCAGCAAGGCCACGTTGACGGAATGTGGAGACCAAAGGTCAACAGTGGACACTAGGGCGTGATAAAACAAGAAAAGGTCATCTTATGATACGATTTTGAAGATGGCATTAATAGATGTTAAACTTCGGGTCTAAGAAGCATTAGATCAGGAATGAGGCTATTTGGCTTGGCTATCATTTGGAAAAGCCACCTCACTTCTCTGCACCCAAAGTTCTTGATTAATATAAGAGGGCACATTAAGAATGTTTCATTACAGAGTTATGGAAAACAGCCGAGAACACATGAAAACTCTGAAATGTTGTTGAGTCCTGTACACATTCCCAATGTTATATCTAAGTTGCTTAACCTTCCTTGGAGAAAAAGGGATTAAAAACTCACAAGTATACATCTGTTTTATTGGGATATTGTAAAACTTATGGGCAGTTTCTTTACCTTTGACCCTTACAAAAAGTTGATGTGCAGATACAAGCTAGCCTATCACTGAGAGATCCGGTCATGTCCTGGTGTAAGAAACTGATCCTGCAGACATGGGATTCTGCATCTTATAGTATAGCCAATGAGGTCACACTATATCTTAAAACAATTTAAGGGCTCTTTGGTGTAGGATGTTTATTGAACCTTTTGTAATAACAGCAGCGATGATTGGGCTGTGTTTGGAAGGGAAATGTACTGTATTTTGTTGTTTCTATTATGCCTCTTTTTTAAATCTGAAAAGTTATAGTAAATTGCATTGATGGCATATATTATGTGGATCATTTTGAGAATCCAGGAAAGATCATCATTTGGGGGTCCTGGGACTTGTCTTTATCTCACATGTTTTGCTTCTTTTAGGGTAAGAAAGTCAAGAAGTGACAGTTCTGAGCTTTCAAACCAAATAGTATTTGGCAATCACTAGAAGCATGGGTTTCCTCCCCCTCCCACCAAGATGCTTTTATTTTAGGTAAGCCCGGATCTGATCCCACACCAAGAAGGAAGGGTTTAAACCCTCAAAACTTGTATAGAGGTATGTCTTTTATAGAGAATTTGAGAAGTCAGGACATCTAGTTACAGCTATGGATTTATAACTTTTTTTTTTTTTTTCAAGTTGGAGCTAAGCAAAGTGCTTTAGAACTGCTGGGGAAAATTTTGTACTGAGAAATATGCTTTCACGGGCTACTTGTAACTAATTTAGGGAACTGTAGCTGCTTAGAGGCCGCCGGATACAATTGGGTTGTAAGATAAAAGAGAAGTGACCCCCTTTAGAGATCTGAATTCTCGGGTTCTGGGATCCTTTTGCTGCTTTGCAGACAAAAATAAATGTTACCAAAGGCACACTATTTGAGGGTCATCCTAATCAGAGTCTTTTCAAGGGTGGATGCATTGTTCTCTCTTGGAATGCTTGAAAAGGAAGCAGTTAGGCAAAACAGTGATGGGGAAGGGAGGAGGAATAAATATTCCTTTTGATTCCCGTAAAAGGGGAGCTGGTGGATGCTGGAGAAATGGCAGCTGGTCTAGGAGTCAAGAGGGCTGGTTCCTTCACCGCGAGCAAATCATCTTATCTTGATTTTCGGGACTTTTGTGTATGTGTGTAAAACCAGGATATTTGTCTACATTCCTTTTGTACCACAATTCTCCTGTGAAGTTGAAGGGAGCATTTGGATTAGCTCAGTCCTTCCTAAGTACCCTTCAAGTTGTACCAGCTTTAATTTTGTGGTTAAGTAGTAAGAGCAACATAGTTCAAAAATCTGGCTGTTCAGTTAACTTCAGAACCAGGAGTTTGTTTTTTTTTTAGAATGCAAAGCTGTTATTCTAACAACTCCTAAAGGAAAGAGATTCATTTAACAAAAAATATCTTCTCAGTCATCAGTGGATTACATATGGTGGAAGTTGGTAAGTAAATATTTTGATGTCTGGCTTTGTGATTGTGCAATCATGTCAGTAAACAGTATTTTGACCTGTGCTGGAGAACTCACTTTGTGCTTAGACACATGTAGTATTTCACAAGTTCTACTGTTTTCCTTGTCAAATCTGTCTTGAACAGGGTCACTGAAGCTTTGTGAACATCTTTCCAAGTAGCATGTGTCGAAATAGAACTCAAAAGATGCACAAGAAAATACCTCAGGAAAATACTCTAAACTAAGATACATAATTTTCCATTTTAAAAAGTCAACATTAATTAATTAATGGAAAATGATTGTTAATCACATTGGAATCCCAAACAATAGCACCCCACCTCCAGACAGAACCATAAGTGGTGTTTCTCCATTGTTGATTTTCAGGGTCTGAATGTGTCTTTAGCACTAAACATGGCAGCTATTACTTGGTGAAATAAGAAGCAGCCCTAGCTTCTGTCTATCTTTTAAAGTCAGCAGAGTGTAACATCCCTCTTTATGTTTTTTTTTTTTATTGATACAGTTTTAGAATGATTATGGGGTGTCATTCAGTGACAAAAGGGCGCGTTCCAGGAAGTCTCCTTGACCCCAAAGTCATTCTGAATTCTGCAAGGGACATTTGGTGTGGACAAAAGGTACCTCTTGGTGTTCCTGCCTGAAAAGAAACTTGACTCTAAGCACAAGATCATCCAGACCATTGTAGCCACTGCAGGTTAGAAGACAATCCTGCTTTCTAGTATGGAAATCGGTATTCTTGTTTGAAAGAAGGTTGATGGGGTGGTTTGTCTTCACTGCTGAAGGAAGCGGAGCTATTTTATTCAGGAAATGGGAATATGTACTTAGGGAAAAGTAAATTAAGATTAGGACTGTGATATGAGTTTTATTTCTGGCTTGGCTTGGTTTCCATGCATAGCAATCCCAACTTTTCACAGTATCTTCTTCATAAAATATGCTAATACATATCAGACCATATGGCCCAATTTGTGGTTTAGAAAATATGGTCACTTTATTTATGGGTAAATACATGAATCCCAGGGCGTGAGTTGGTTGCTCTGAAAAACGTGACACATATTTAATGAGCGGTGGCTCTGAGGGTCCCGTGGGGCCAGAATAAATGTATACGGTAAATCATGTGCCAAGTATGGAATCTTGCTATCTTCTTGGAAAGCATATTCCCAATTCACTGACCACGGTGTTGCCGACCTCAGGTTAAGTTTTTGATTCATTCATTGTCACTGGAGTTGTGGAAGGAGATTTCATGGTTTGGGGGGTTGACCCACAAACAGTCATCTGTTGCTTCCTGACCTGCAAGGGATCTGTTCTGTAGGTTCTCCGTAGGCTGGCTTCTCATCAGAGCACCACTGTCTTCTGTTATATAGCCAGTCCAGACAAAGCTACATCATAAAGAGATAAAGCAATACAGTTCGAGGAAACAACAAAAACACCCAAACTAGAAAGCCAAGTAAAACCTAACTGGGAAGCCAAATCTGTTGTTCAGTCTGTCACGTGCATGAGAACCCAATGTGAAGAATTTGGGGGTGCACTTTTTCATGCCTCCTCACTGATAGCAGAAACAACCAAGTGGTGATGTCACGCAGAAATAAGCTACTCAACAATATACAAGTTAGCATTTTCTGTGCCAATCCACCTTAGCGACAGTTTTAATAGTAATGATTGGGAATGACTCATATGTATGAAAACGTACTGATTTTTTTTCTGTTATTGGCATTATGTAGGAATGTACTTGGATTATTTACTCATGATTCTGTTGACCAAGGGCTACTTTCAAAGTCAAAGACCATGAAGGCACTTTTATCCACAGCTGCTTAAATTGCCAACTATTAAAGGGGCCAGTTACCTCTTAAAATGGTCAGAGCAGTTAAATAAATAATCCCTGTGACTATCAACTAAAGCTGTGCTAGTGCTAGACCAAAGAAGTATATTTGTTTAAAATATATAAATATGTAATATTTTCATACGGTCTCATATATGATGTATTTTGTATTCTGCCTTTATTCTGGCAAAAGTCATATAATCCCAATGAATGGTCTGAGATATTGAAAAGAACTTCTTGAAATGACGTAAAAGTGTGTAATTCTTATTAGTAGGCAAGTGTTTGTATTTTGGAGAAATAGTGAGACTTGAGGATTAAATAGTCTTTCTTTGCATTCGAGGTTGGATTTTTGTACCCTATAACCACAATGGTTCTAGGGCTGAGTTCCAAGACATTCCAGGGGATAAGGTTCTATAGAGTTTCATTTTCAGGAGAGGGGGGTTAAAGTGAACATTGTGAGATGTTCCTTTTATTTTTCATGCATATTTTCCCCATCACATAAAGGTTGTGTATAGCATGGAAACTGGACTATATAACCTATAGATATGTTTTGTGCTTTCTAGAGATAGACTTATCAAAAGTCATTTATCTCGCTGTATTTTTTGTTGTGGCTTTTGTTTAATGAGACTTCCTTAATTCTCTCAGGTTCG